AACGCAACTATATACCTTGTTTTGTTTAGTAATTTTGTTTCAGATGTATTGATTATATGCTTGAAGCTTTTAAGTTTAAGGTGTTTCTAGTGCATATTGCAAAATTTCTGTATGATATGTTCATCTCTTCAAGTTATACCGATATGCAGGCTTGTGCCTGTGACGAATTTGCTAGATTTGATCATTTACAACACTACCTAGAGAAGCCGTTTTGCAGAATTTCATAGGCACTCGAGGAATGAAGTCTGCTTTCACAAGATTCGAGTACAGGGCAACTCAAGAGCTAATTTCTGATGCGTATACATAGAAAAAAAAATGGGAAAGGTGTGACAGCTCCCGGGTGCAGGGGCACCCTCATGAACAGTAACTTGAAAACAAGATGAAAAAAAATTGAAAAATTCTGAAATGTTGGGGGATCAAATATGATCAAACTTTTGATGTTCTCGCAAATTTTCAGCCAGAAAAAGCACTCGAGGAGCCCTCACAAAAAAAAAACAGATTACTGCTCAAAAGTACACATAACTTTGAACACTGATTTTGTTTTTTTTTTCGGCGAGGGCTCCATGAATGTTTTTTGATGCTAAAACTTTGCATGAACGTTGAATGTTTGATCATATTTGTTCCCCCAAAGTTTCAGATTTTTTTTATTCTTTTTTCATATTGTTTTGAATTTACTGTTCATGAGGGTGCCCCTGCACCCGGGAGCTGAAAGTCCAGTCTCAAAAAAAATTAACTTCCTTTGTAGGTGTTGTGTGTCAACATTAAATAAATTGAAATGTCACCAATAAAATCTAATGCCATGTCATATTCTTCGGAGTACATAATTTGTTGGGTGATGATCTTGATCAAAGAACTGATACATAAGTAAGTATCCAGGTCAATCAACGGATAGATTTTTGAACAGGTGACTAACTCAATGATTGACAAACTGAAAAACACTCTTCCTGTGGCAAGGTCTAAAAGGCGCTTATCTCTAGTATTGCCTACCAATTCATACAGGAAGAAAAATTCGTCAGGTTACCAAATGCTTGAAAAGTTTGTTTTTACGCATTTAGTGGCCTGTATAGTTAGGCAGAGACCTCCTTGCCGAAATGAAGCTCATTATTAATATGCTCATCCCTTCCTTAACATGAGACAACTTTGCACAACTTCTTACAGACATGTGCTAAAAAATTATATCATTATTGCAGGGTTCCAAATCATGATGTCTGCAGCTGTAGAGCAGATAGCTGGTGGTTTCTCATCTGCAGTTATTCAACGTGTTGTTGACAAGACAATGGACTTCCTCGAGAGCAACTACAATGTAAGCCATGCTACTGAAGAGCTTCTGACCAAACTCCGCACAAGCCTCACCGTCGTGAAGGCCATAACCGAGGTGGCTGACAACCAGCTTATCGTCAGCACTAGTCTTACCAACTGGTTGAGGAACCTCCACAGTGCTGCCTATGAAGCGGAGGATGTGCTTGACAGATTTGATTGTCATGAGATAGTTGCCGGAAAGCGCAAGGTGAGTGAGCTCATTTCATCATCCGTCAGGGCCCTCAAAAGTTTGATTGTGCCTGATGAGAGTATGAAAAGGCTTGAATGTGTTGTGCAAAAGCTAGACCACCTTTGTGCAACGTCCAACACATTTGTTGAGCTAATGAAGCAGAGTAATTTAACCACCATGAAGGAGGAAGGAATTCGGAGAGAGACTACTTCTCGTGTTCCAGTTGATGTCAAGGTGTTTGGCCGCGATGAAGTTCTAGAGTTGATACTGAAAATTATTTTGGGTTCATCTAGCTCTGAACCAGAATCCAGCAGCTTAAGAGCAAAACTTGGGGCAAGGTACTGCGTTGGCGGTGTTGATGTCGTCCCAATTGTTGGTATGAGTGGGGTTGGGAAGACAACCCTTGCTCAAATTATTTACAATCATGAAAATGTGAAGCTTTACTTTAAGCACAGAGCATGGGTGTATGTTTCAAAACACTTCAGCATGAAAAGGACATTGCAAGAGATGTTGTGCTCTTTTAAAGGAAATGATTCGTCTTTTGACTACACTGATAGTTTGGAAACAATTGTCAACAATATTCAAAATGTCTTCCACCCTGAAGAAAGGTTCCTTCTTGTGCTGGACAGTGTTTGGGATGAGATGTGTGACCAGTGGAGTAGTTTGCTTACTGCCATAGCTCGTGAAGTGCCAGGAAGTGTAGTTGTTGTCACAACACAAAGCAAAAGGGTTGCCGATACAGTGGCGACAATATGTCAAGTTCCACTAGCACCTTTGCCATGGGAGAGTTTTTGGCCAGTGTTCCAGTATTATGCATTTGGCACAAGCAATGTTGTGGTTGAGAACAATCCGACTCTTTTGTTTATTGGTGAGAAAATAGCAAGAAAACTAGAGGGTCTTCCATTAGCAGCAAAAGTAATGGGAAATCTATTGAGGTCTAGATTAACTATAGACCAGTGGAGAAGCATCCTGGAGAGTGATTGGTGGGACCGGAGTGACGTTTTATGTGAAATCCTTCCATACATGGGAATTAGTTATCAAGATCTACACCCTAGACAGAGGCAGAGCTTTGCTTTCTGTTCGATCTTTCCACAGAACTACTTGTTTGATAAGGATAGATTGGTCAGTATGTGGATTTCTCATGATTTCATCCAACACAGTGGATTTGATGGAACTAGATTAGAGGATATCGGAGATCAGGTTTTTGATGAACTTGTACAAAGATCATTTTTTCAGTCTACATTCGACAACAAGAGGTACACTATGCACGATCTAGTAAGGGCTCTTGCAATTGCTGTTTCTTCATATGAATGCTTCTTCCACAAAGAGACCTCCCAGAGAGCATCACCAACTGTTCGCCACTTGGCTCTGCAAGTTGGCAATCAAATGCAAATTCATGAACTCAACAAGTATAAGAATCTGCGGACAATCTTATTGTTTGGCCATTGTGACAGTAATGCAATTTGTGATGTTGTGGACAATATGTTGGTCAACTCAAGAAGCATTCGAGTGTTAGACTTGTCTCATTTGGAGGTGATGACGAATATGCTGCCTAGCATTGCATCCTTGAGAAATTTGAGGTTCTTAGATCTTTCTTTCACAAGATTCAGCAATTTGCGCAACTTCCCTTGCAATCTTCAAGTTTTATACCTCCGTGGATATGCTCGCAATACTATTCCTCAAACCATCAACATGCTTGCCAACTTACGGCACTTGTATGTTGATGCTACAGCTCTCTCTCTGATTCCTGGTATTGGGCAGCTAAGTCAACTTCAAGAATTGGAGAACTTCAGTGCTGGAAAGAGAAATGGATTCATGATAAGTGAGTTGAAGTACATGCAAGAGTTATCTGGGAAACTTTGCATCAGTAACATCCACATCATCAAGAACAAACATGAGGCAATGGATGCCAATATGATTGAGAAGAAGCACCTTGAGGCCTTGGAGTTGAAGGGGAGAAATGTATCCAAAGATGTACTTGAAGGATTGCAGCCACACCCTAATCTGCAAGAGCTCATGATCGAAGGTTACGGGGCCACAAGTTTCCCGAGCTGGATGTTAGAAGCTCACCTCTTTACAAAACTAAAGTCCCTTTATGTTGGAAATTGCCGACATCTAGTTGTACTTCCACCATTTGGAAAGATCACTTCACTCAAGCATCTCACTCTAAATAACTTGCCGTCAGTGAAGCAAGTTGATGGAACATCTTTTGATTGTTTCCCAAATTTGGAAGACTTAAAAGTTTCTTTGATGACATCATGGACAAACTGGTCACATGCAGAAAGTGATCATGGCCCTCTACTTCAACGCGTCACAAGGTTTGAACTTCATGATTGCCCTTTGCTGAAAGAAGTGCCTTATCTATCATTCATGTCTTCGCTGTCAGAACTTGACATCTCGGTTTGTGGGGACTTTGTCAAGGCACTGCCACAATATGTACAACTCTTGACACATCTCAAAAAATTAAGCATGTCTTTCTGCGATCACACACTCCTACTCTCTGGGCAACACTTGAAGTCACTTGAGTATCTATATCTTAGAAAATGTGGAGGGCTGCGTTTGATTGATGGGTTACACTGTTTCCCCAACCTCAGGAAAGTTAATGTTTATGGTTGCCCCAACATTCTTACTGAATTCTCCGACCAATCAACTATACAAGATGAGCAGAGTGGACTTCGACTGACCAATATGGTTACAGATTACAGCTTGTTCAATAGAAATTGTTTTCTGCCTTCGGTGCGAGATCTGCTCATCGCTTATATAGATGACCTTTATTTTACCCCAGAGCAGGAGGAATGGTTTGAACAGCTAATCTCTGTCGAAAAAATCGAGTTTGGTTTCTGTAATTTTCTGGAACGGCTCCCTACTACACTAGCAAGACTTACCTCATTAACAATACTTCATCTCAAATGGACAAGACCAGTTTTCCTGGAAGGAGTTGTACCACAGAACCTCCAAGAATTGGTCATGAATGGCTTTTCGGGTGAGACAGAAAACAATTTCAAACCTGGAGGATCAGAATGGGTAAACATTTCCCATGTTCCATATATTCGGCTTAATGACAAGACAGTCCAAAATCTGTCAGTTAATGCTGCCTCATCATCCTCAAACCACCAAAGTTAAGCAATGATTTATCTGTTCTCCTTGGCTGCCTCCGTGTTAAAAATAATATCTCTGTAAGTAACCACATTTTCTGCTCTGTAAATTCTTATGATTGTTCATGTCAAGGTTTCT